TGAGGTTGTGCAAGAATTGTGTGTAGGGAGAACAGGACACAGATTATTGATAATCAAACCAACCCCTACAACTGCTTTTGCTGTCACTAAAATGCCTTTGCAATTGGAGTCATCATCATCTAGGATTATCCAAAACCATTTGCTCAGAAAAGCTCCTTCAGGTAGGAATTTCAAGGAAGGAATTTGGGAATTTCGAGGCAAGGCCAATAGTAACCTTTGGAATCAATGAATATCTCATCAGAAAAGATAAAGATTTGCCTTTATATCCCAAAGGTGTAAGGTCTGGGCATCCAAAACTGATACTTGGTAGAAATAATTCTTCAGCTTTACTTCACCCTTTTTCTGCACCTTTCCCACATCTCAAGGTGTTCGGGTCTCCAGGGATCTCCCAGGACTTGCAGCAAAGCCAGGGAAACTTCCCCTCATTAATATCCCCAGGAGACAAAAGCTGAAATCTGATTTTTCATGCTTGGTTATTTTATTTTAGGATTAGCCAAATCTGAATGTGAACCTGAATGCAGACCATTGTAATGGGGACATAATGAAGAGAATTCAATTACCAGCATTAAATGGCATTTCTGGGGGAGATATGCTGCTTATCTGGGAATTTCTGTGCAGGAAAACAATTCAGATAATATTGCACACCCCTCTCTTTGATAAGGCCAAGTCCCCTTTGGAAGCTCTCTAATCATTCTGTTATTGTGACTTTAGAGCCAGAGTTCCTTAATCTTTTAGGAAGGTTAATGAAGACTATTACCAATGGCTGCTACAACCAGAATAAATCCCGAATTTTGCATTTCCAATTAGGAGCAGAACAGGGACATTCCTGCCTCCCTCACCTGGCTCAGGGGGGAAGTTTGGAACAAAATGCTTCTTGCTTCTAAACAGGGTGTGGAAAAGCGGAATTTGGATAAAGTGGAGAGACTTGTAGTGGAGAATCCCAGGATTCCTGAGGCTGGAAAAGCTTTCCAAGGTCCCCGAGTCCAACCTGTGACTGGTTGTCTCTGATTTTTTTTTTTTTTTGGGACATCAAAGATTCCACCCCCCTGCCATGGCAGGGACACCTCCCACCATCCCAAGCTGCTCCCAGCCCTGTCCAGCCTGTCCTTGGGCACTGCCAGGGATCAGCTGGTTCCACAGCTGCTCTGGGCACCTGTGCCACCTTCCCAGCCTGGAATTCCTTCCCATTATCCCGGCCATCCCTGCCCCCTGGCAGTGGCAAGCCTTTCCCTGGCTCCTCCTTGCTGCATCCCTCTGCTCCTGCTGGGCCCCAGCCCCTGCGCTGGGCCAGGGCTGCAGGTGGGCTCTCCCCTGGGCAGAGGGCAGCATCCCTGGGAATGGGAAATGCTGGGAAAGCTCCTTCCCCTCGGGACGTCTCCTGGGGAAATCGAGCCCACTGCTCAGGAAGAGCAACGCTGCTTTTCAGGCGGAGAACAAGCAGATTGCACCTCCTCAGAGTTCTTTTCTGAATGGGAAAACGGGGAGGAAATGCAAAACAGCAGCAAGGACTGATGGCAGAGCTTACATAAGCACAATTCTCATGTCACAATACGGGGTTACAGCTGGAGACAAAAGTTTGGGATGAAGAATACAAGGTAGAGGTAGTGAGAGTTACACAACTCCCCGAGCAAAACAAACCAAAAGTGCTGAAAACTCCCAGCGTTCGTGCAAACCTGGTGCCCACAAAGCTGCAGCTCGCAGAAAGGTGAGCAGCAAATTGAAAAACCAAAATCTGGATGAGGAGGTGGGAGAGCTGTGGAAAGGCTCCACGTGGTTGTAAATGCAGAGAGAGCCTTCCTCCGTCCCTTCAAGGCTCTGAAATTATTAACAGGGTTGGGTTTCCAATTGAAATGTGATGCTGGAAATGAAGATGGCTCCGAGAGCTTTGAAGTTCCCTAATTATTGCAGTGACCCAGACTGCAACTGGACACTGTGCAAATCAGCCTGGCAGCCCGCAGAATTAATTAAAGGGAAGAAAGGAAACACAAGTGCAAGAAAGGAAACACAAGTCTGGCCAGTGACAGGAGAATATCTGTGGGGAAGAGACTTTGGCCTAAAGGAAATTTGAGGGTCGTCTTCTGTTTTAATTCCAACTTTAAGCTCAGCTTTGTTCCATTTCTTATGTGGAGTCGCTGTTATCAAATCTCTTTTTGCAGAGAAAATGTAAATTCTGGGGTGTGGAACAAACTGGGAAACTCCCAGAGCCTTCCTTAGGGCAGAGGAGGGAGCAGCTGCCCTGGAACCCCCCCAGGAATCCTGGCAAATGCTCCAGAAAGGACTCCTGCTTTCCAAACAAGTCTTTCATGGGATCAGGAGAAAAGAGGGATGTGCTTTAAAGAAGGGGAGGCTTAGATTGGATTCTTTGTTGGAGATTTAGATGGGACACTGGGAAGGAATTCTGTATTAATGGCGTTGGTTGTGCTGCTAAAAGAGAAAGGAAACGGGAGCAGAGAATCCATCCCTTGTGTGAGATGTGTGACAAAGGAGGAACTGAGGAGAACTCCCTGCTGCTCTGGAAATAATCCCTATTTTCTGAACCCTCTGGCAAATATTTTACTGCTCATTCCAGCCCTGCCACCTCCCATCCACACTTCCAAGTTCTCCGTTTTCAGCATTTCTCGGTAACTTTCTAGCTCTGCCAGATCCCTGCACTGGGATTTCTTGGAGTTTTCTGAGTGAAAGTGGAAGGGCAGGAGGGGTTTGATGTTTGCTGCCCGGCCAGAGAGCTGAGATGGCCCCTGAGAGCCCAGACCCTGCTGCCTTTGGTCCCCATTGAATTTTGGCTCTGGTTATTCTGGTTACTTATTGAATTTTGGCTCTGGCTGTGGCACTGCAGCAACTCCCTGAGATACCAGCACTCCTGCGAAGTGCTCCGTGGAAAACTTGTTTGGGAGAAAAATAAAATCCATCATTAATGTATCCTGCAAAACAGCAAATTAAAGATTGATTCATCCTGCCAATCACACAGAGGGCACTTCTGGAGCTTTTTGTAGCAGCATTTTTACCACCTCTGCTCTGCACCCCCAGCTGGACTCTTCAGGAGATCCCAGAATTCCAGAATGGATGGGATTGGAAGGGATTCTTAAATTTCATTTGGAATGTTGGGATTTGGCGAGCTGTTTCATCCCTTCCTTAAATCAGCTGGGTGAACCCGCAGCAGTTTTCTCAGTCTTTCCAGCAGGTGAGGGAAATGTCTTCTCCTGTGGCTCCTGATAAACAGGGATTAGTGTTTTCCTGCACAAAAAGTCTGTGAATTGAGAAGGGATTGTAATTTATTGTAATTGATTTCCATAAAGCTCCTGTTTTCCTCAGATGAAGGAGTTTCTTTATAAGACAATAAACTGCAGGCACTGATAATGAGCTGCTTGCTGGAGCTGAAAAGGAGCAGGTTATTTTATGCTGCTTTCCTCATTTATTCAAGAAATAATCTGATTTTTGTGCTCTGTTGGAGGCTCTGATCTGCCTGTGTAATGTGTGACGTGGGGCAATGACCTCAGGACTCGGCTGTGGGGAACTTTGGTTCTCAACTGGGGAAAAGCACCAAGCTCTGGTGCTTCCAGGGGGATGGAAGAGGGATGAGGAATCCGGGGCAGGGATGAAGGAATGGACCGAGCTGTGTGTCCCTGACTCGGCGCAGTCAGGGGTGGCTCCTGGGCTGAGCCTTTTCCAGCAGCAAGCACCAGCACCAAGGAAAGGATCTCTGAACATCAGGACAGAGCAAAATGTAGGGAAAGAAAGTGTAATTACCAAAGCTGGAATTAATCCAGAGTAGGAATTAGTAATGCTGAAATTAATAAAAGGTTTAATTACCATGAGCCCACAGGGTGTGAAATTCCACCCCTTTCAATCGTGGCCCTGGTCCTTCGATTCCATACTGGTGCTTGCTATAAAAAACTTATTTTGCTTTATTTGGACTAATTTAGCGTGGTTTTTTTCCTAAATATAACTCAAAGCCTTGTTTTGGAAAATGAGAGCTGAAGGTTGAGCCCTCCTTGCCTTCGTGGTAAATATGTTTCAGGACAGCCTGGTTTATCCAGAATGTTTAAGTAACTCCTAAAGGTGTCCAGGATGGATTTAGGGACTGCTTGACGTGTTCCAAATCCGCTTTTGGAGCGTTGCCTCCATCCTGAAGTGGTTTGTTGCACAAGGAGTAGGGCACTGTGTAAAGTTACTCGCTGAGTTAGGGGTGCCCAGGCACGCTGGGGGTGAGGAGGGTCTGCACCCCTGGGACTGAGGGTGGGAGAAGTTTGGGAAAACTTCCTGGATGCGTATTTTAGTGCAGGAAAAGGAGTAGATTTTGCTAAATCCCCTCTTGGAGCTTCCAGCAGAGCCTGGTGGCACGGGAGGAGCAGGAAGGGTTTGGGGTCGCTCTGTAGCCGAGGGTTCCATCCCTGCTTCCCTCGGCTGCTGCAGGAGCCCGTGGGAGCAGCTGAGGGAGCTCTGCAGGTGTGGGGGATCCAGGGAAAATGCCCATTCCCCACGGGAATCCCACCCAGGTCCCTCCAGCTGCGTCCCGGCCAGCTCCGGGCAGGGAGCGGCGCTGGCTCTGTGCTCCCATGGGTGGGCTTGGATGGGTGGGTTTGGATGGGTGGGCTTGGATGGGTGGGTTTGGATGGGTGGGTTTGGATGGGTGGGCTTGGATGGGTGGGTTTGGATGGGTGGGTTTGGATGGGTGGGTTTGGATGGGTGGGTTTGGGTGGGTGGGTTTGGATGGGTGGGTTTGGATTCCGTGCCTTCCCACTTTGCCATGAAAGGCGGGCTTGCGGCCGGGCTTGGCGTGTTCCCTTCCACCCCAGAGCAGGGAACAGCTGCAGGGTCCAGGTTTGCTGCACTCCAAATCCCACCTTCCCATTCCAGCAAGGTGCCCCGGCACCAGACACGCTCACTCCCGCTGTCCCTGGGGAAAGCTGCTTTGAACGAGCTGCACTCCGGAGAAAATTCCCAAGAGCATTCCCCCAAAAGGCCGCTGAAATCCCGTTTTCCCCCCCTTTTCCCCCCAGTATGCTGCTTGGAGATGACAAGCAAAAGGAAGCTGATCGGCCGCCTGGTGCCGTGCCGCTGTTTCCGCGGCGAGGAGGAGATCGTCTCCGTGCTGGATTATTCCCACTGTGGCCTGCAGCAGGTGCCAAAGGAGGTCTTCAACTTCGAGAGGACCCTGGAGGAGCTTTACCTCGATGCCAACCAGATTGAGGAGCTTCCCAAGGTAACCCACGTCCTGCTGGGGCACCAGGGCAAAGCCTGGGACGTGTGCCCGGCTCTGGGGCGGCTGGAGCTCCCGGGGGCAGGCGGAGATGGGAGCTCCAGGAATATTCCTTGGAATCGGGGCTGAACTGGGAGGAGAAGGGACTCCTGCTCCTTCTTCACAGCACAGGAATGGGGCAGCTTGGAGCCTGAAACTGGGAAAAACCATTCTCCCAAAGAAACTGTTCCAGCCCCGGAAATTCCTGTGGTATCCAGTACCTGGATCAGGAGCCACCACTGCCTTTGGATTCTCTCCATCCCTGCTTTTCCTTCAGGACCAGCCCTTTATCCCTGTGGGATGTTCCTGGGAATTCCTGTCCTCCCTGTTAGGAGCAGCCCTTTATCCCTGTGGGACATTCCTGGGAATCCCAGTGTTCTCCTCCCTGTCAGGATCAGCCCTTTATCCCTGTGGGACGTTCCTGGGAATTCCAGTGTTCTCCTCCCTGTCAGGATCAGACCTTTATCCCTGTGGGACATTCCTGGGAAATGCCAACTGTCCAAGCAGGAGTTTCCTCACTGCCCTGAGACCATCCAAGCCATCCTTCCCGTGTAAAACTCCCCTTCTGGAACCTTCCAATCCATTCTCCCGCTGATCAATGTTTGCTATTAGGAATGAGAAGTTTCTGCAACCAAAATGTTCTGGAAACAAAGGAGGGAAAGGTGGAGAAATCAATCAATGGCAGGTGCTGGCTCCATAATGAAGCACGGAGGGATGGGATCCAGGCCATAATGGCATTTTTCTCCACAGTAATGAAAGATGCTTACAAATATTTAATTAAACACTGCTTCATTCTCCATCATCTCTCAGCAAATTTCCCATTTTTGCTGCACAGAGACTCTGACAAAGTTCCATTTACAAAAGTACAAAATGGGCTTTTTCCAAGCCATGGGGTTGCTTCTCTGGGATGTGATGGTTCATTGCCTGAGAGGTCTCACTCCATGGAGGAATTCTGCACAGATGGTGGGGCAGGGCCACCAAAATCCTTTTATTTTCATGGAAAAATGCTGTGGGGAATTGCCTGAGCTCTCCTGGAGACACAGCACGGAACCAGCTGGGTTCTATCCCCAGAAATCCCAAACGGATCCTGGGGAAATCCTGCTCAGGAAGCCCTGAGGTCCCATCTTCTCCTTCTTCCTTTTTTCTCCTTCTTCCTTTTTTCTCCTTCTTCCTTTTTTCTTCTCCCTCTAATAGTAATAATAATAATAACAATAAATTCCCTTCTTTTCCTTCTGCCACTGAGGAATATTTGAAGTGTCTCATTTAGGGAGGGATTTTTGGGATATTTGGCTTGGGCCTCTTGGAATGATCAAAGTGTTTCAGAAAACAAATATATCCAAGCAGGATGCCAGAATCCTGTATGGGAAAAATGATGACCAAAGGGAAGAGTTCCAAAATGCTGGAACTGGGATGAAGGTGATAATTTTAATTTAGAGTAAATCAAATTTAACATAATCTTGGCCATGTGGAAGAGAAGATTAATGGCAGTGTTAATAGCACTCATCGGTTTTTGTCTTAAGCCTTTATTAATTGTTACCAGGAATTCAACAGCTGAAATAATTCCTTTATCAAGTTTTCTGCTCGAGGTGTTTTTGCTGCAGAGCTCAAGGCTTTTTTTTCATCACTGAATTAATATTCCAGGAGAGAAAATGCCTTTATTCCCCCATGAAACTGGCACTGCATTACTTAACAAGAACTTTTGTGTTATACATTAAATTCTACCATTCTCTCCTCCCTCTGTAAATGTGTTTTCAAAGAATTTGTTCCAGAGGAAATTTTTGGTAATTTTCCATTTTTTTGCCAAATATTCTGTGCCCCTGATATTACAAAATTCTTTTGAATCAAAACTTTTGATCATGTTTTATTATTTAATGAGGAAACAACTAAGTCCAGCTCTATTTTAATTTCATGTGATGCTTTAGAGTCCGGTAAATTATTTTATATTGATGCCTTAAACTCATTCTTTCTGATTTTATTTTTACTTTCCATTTCAGGTATCGTAATGATGATTCTTTTCCTGCTGATTTTTAGTTCTTCATTTCTTGTATTTCTCTGGTTTATTAAGGATTTACAAGATGTTTTTATACTTTTAACTCTCTTTTTTGGCTAAATCCAGCAAAGTCTTTTTATTCTCTTTGCCTTTGACTTCATTCTCCTGCTGCAAAAAAAAATCCTTTATTTGTATGAGTCAAGTGAATTGATGACTAATAAAGGGAAAATTGATCTGGATGAGAGTGGAGTCATTGGAATCAGCATCCAGAAAAACATGAGTGGGCTGGAATTCTCCCCAGAGGTGCAGAATAAATCCCTGATTTCATAACTCGGATCTCAGCAGCATCACTTGGATTTGGTCTGAGAGGAATTAGAGTTGTTCATGGGCAGAGGGGATGATGACTCCAACAAAATCCTGATGGCCAGGGAGCTCTGGAAACTGGGAAAAACACAGTGGGTGAAGAAAAAAAAGCAATTTTGGGACCTCATTCCCTCATTCCATGTCTCATACTCCTTCTGGTGCAACAGCACTTCATGAAACCATTCCAGAGGGAAGATTTTTAATTTGGCTTCTCCTTCCAGCACTTCCAAAGCCTTGGGTGTGTCCAGGTGGGGTCAGAACTCCGAGTTCCCAGCCCTCCTCAGCTCCCAGAGGAATTCCTGGTGAAAACTGGGAATCCACTTCTATAAAATTGGAATTTGATGGAAAAATTAGAATTGAGTCCTGAATTTTGGGCAGGGATTTCAAGGAAGTATCCTTTGGATAACGCCAAAGCATTTTTTGGATCTTGAGGATAATTACTTAACCCGAATGCAGTCACAGTCATTCAAAATCTGCCGTGAAATTTAATTATGAAATCAAGTATTTTAATTCGCCGTGAGGCACAAAAATTTGGGGATTTCTATGACAAATGTGAAACACAGCAATAAATACGAATTATATGCAGTGATATCAGAATTATAAGGTATTAATTGGGGTGACTTTACAGCTTTTGAGTGTCTTTGAACATCCCTGCTCCCCATGATCCATTCATCTCATCCCTGTCAACGGTGGGAACGCCATCCCAAAAACCCCACAAAAACTCTGCTGTGGCCAGCGGGGGATTTGCGCTGTTTGTGTGTCAGTAATGATCCCAAATGGATTTTTTGGGGTTTGTTTTTGCCCTCCATGGAACCCCCGGAACAGCAACTGTTCAACTGCCAAGCCCTGCGGAAGCTGAGCATCCCCGACAACGACCTGTCCAGCCTCCCGACGTCCATCGCCAGCCTGGTCAACCTCCGCGAGCTCGACATCAGCAAGAATGGTGAGGCCTCCCCCCAAAAAAACAACAAAAAAAAACTTGGAGCTGAGATGAAGCTCCCAAAAAACTGGGAGCCAAGATGAAGCTTTTCCTCCTCGCGGCGCGGAAATCCGCGCTCCGTCTCGGGTTTCCCGCCCGGCGCTCTCGGGGAGGGTCTGTGCAAATCCAGCTCTGGTTTTCCCTGTAAAAATTCGAGTTTTCTTCAGCATCCTGTGCTCTGGGGGCTTCTGCCCAGCTGGGAACAGGAATGTGAGGCCAGTTTTCCCTGCACGTAGGAGCATTCCACTTCCAAAGGGGTTCAGAGCTCGCTGGGCTCTGGTGTGGGGGATTTGAACAATTCCCAGGATTTATCTGGACTGGTTTGCTGCTGTGCATTCCCAATTCTGCATTTTCATTTCAGACAGCCTTTGCTGTCTGAGTTCGAGGGTCTTAGTTTTTAAAAAATGAGGCTTAGGAATTCCTGGAAGTGTTGGGAAATTTCCTGTTGAGGCGGTCTGGAGACTGAGGATTCTCTGAGAGAAAAGTAGCTTGGCAAGGGATGAAGTCACAAATCTCAGCACAAATTATGTCACTGTTAATTCTGGAGCATTATATAAATCAAGCAGTAGCAGAAGAGTTATAATTTTGTATTTTTATGTATTTATTTAGGGATTGAGCATCACCTTTTGGATGGCAATTCTAAACTCTGTTTCCTTCCTGCTCAAGCTGAAGTCTGAGCTGGAAATCCCACTTAAGCATTTATTGACAAACCAGGCCGAACAGTTTTTGTGTAGAAAATATTTCTCTGTGTCTAATAAATATTTCTGCATATCTAATACTCTTTCCATGTTTTTTTAGGCATCCAAGATTTCCCAGAAAACATTAAGTGCTGTAAGTGTTTAACAATAATCGAAGCCAGCGTCAACCCTGTGTCCAAGTGAGTACCAGGAGCTCATTTTGCTCATTCCAAGGGCACAAAATGAGCTCAGAGCTTTTTACCCAGTCCTTTTGCAGGGTTAATCTGAATGTCTTTCTAATTGTTTAAATTCAAACAATTAAAATCGTTTCTAATTTAAACCCAGAGTGGGTTTGTCTGAGATCTGTTAGTGCCAGTCAGGCTGGGCAGTCTCTGATCACAGGGTGAGGCTTCACCTGGACACTTGGCCAGCCCTTATTCCTTATTCCTTCCAAAATCTTGCTAAAAGAGCAGCAAAAAAAGAGTTGTAAATCCAGGATTTACAAAGTGGAGTGAAGGGGAGAAAGGGTGAAATGTTGATGTTTCAGTTTAAGAAAAATAGAGAGAAAGGAAGAGTGAGAGGGATGAAGGAGAAAGAAGAGAAGAGAAGAGAAGAGAAGAGAAGAGAAGAGAAGAGAAGAGAAGAGAAGAGAAGAGAAGAGAAGAGAAGAGAAGAGAAGAGAAGAGAAGAGAAGCAAGATGAGATGAGACAAAACAACTTTGGTTTAAATCCCTCGAGCAGGATGGGAGAAAAGGCTGCTGTCCCCTGAATGTGCCAGGCCTTTGCATTTCCTTTTTGTAGCAATGCAGGGAAGGTGGGAATGGGCAAAACTGTTAAAAGTGAGTTCTTCAGGAGAATTTGGGTAGAAGTAGGTGAGAGAGAAAGTCACCTTTCTGCTTCTAAATATACATTGTTATTATCTCCATGGCAACTCAGGGTGAGCATTAAGGTTTGCTCTGTTTTTTTAGGCTGCCAGATGGCTTCACACAACTTCTAAATTTGACCCAGCTCTATCTAAACGATGCCTTTTTGGAGTTTCTTCCAGCTAACTTTGGAAGGTAAGGATGAATCACCACAGCACATTCTTGTGCTTGAACCCAGCTCAGGCTCCAGGGGACCGGCCCAAAGCTGGCTCCCCTTGGAAAGTGAGCACAAACCCCAGAGATTTTGGCTTTTCTGCCCTGTTCTCCTGGGTGAGTGTTGTGTCAGCAGGAACGGGGTGGTGAGGGCCAGCAGGGCTTGCAGAGGCTCATCCCTCTGCAGGGACTCAGCTGTGTCACCTCAGGTCCCTCCTGGTGACAAAGGGACAGGAGGGTTGGAGCCCAGCACATCCCTCTGGCTGCCCTGGCTGCTCCAGACCCTGCAGGGGCTCAGGGACCCTGGCACAAAGTAAAAACACCTGTGGCTGAGATTTTAGCATGTGAAAAAAGCTGCCAACTCTGTGAGAGGAATTACAAACCACAAGGGTTTGAGTGGTGTGGGAGTTGGATTAACACAGGTGAAAAAGTAGAATTTTGGGATTTTTAGAATATAATTCAAGGGGGTACAAGATGGAAGGATTTGAGCGTGTCCTGGCCTTCTTCTCCTTCTTCTTGCCCTCCATGTCTTGGTGTGATGGTGACATTTTCTATTGGTTTGGGATGGGGACACACTGTCCACCGTAAATGACAGACATTGGCACGTTATTGTAAACATGGCACAGGTAGTTTTTGGTATAAAATGCAAACACCCCCTGAGGGCAGACAGAACACCACGGGCTCCTTGCTAGGAAGAGCTCAGCAGGTCAGAGAAAGAATGTTTAGATAAGAAGAAATAAACAGCCTGGAGAATGCAATTGGAGACATTCCAGGCTCCTTCTCTGGCTGCCAGGCCAGGGAAGCAAAAAGTCTTTATGATCTCTCGGGGTCATCCTGAGACCTCTGAACCCCAAGAATTCCACAGAGGGTGAGGAGCTGTGGCTCAGAAGGGAGGTGGAACACGGAAAGGTGAAATGTGGAAGCAGAACGAGGGAGAGTCCAGAGACAGCAGGGCAAAAATAAACCCAGCGAGAGCAGAGCCAAACATGTCAGGTAAGGACAGAGCAGAGGTGGTGGGGACCAGAGCGTGGTGGGTTTGGCTGGCCAATTAGAGATTTCACCAATTAGCGATTTCACCAATTAGAGATTTCACCAATTAGAGATTTCACTGGGTTTTTAGGTCTCCCAGCCCCTACACCGACCGCTGTGGTGGTTTCAGTGCTGGCCACTGACCAGTGCACTCACTTCGTGGGAGACAGGAGTAGGAGAAAGGCTCAAAACCCTTAAAGGATATAAAGAAAATTTCATTAACTAAAAGGAAGTAACTAAAATTTAGTAACTAAAGGGAAGAAAAGTAGCAGGAATCAAAGCAAACCCTTCTGAACGCTTCTCCTGCCCCCACAAGCTTTTCTTTTCCCAGTGGACACAGAGTTAACCCAATTCCCACAGGAGCTGGGGATCCCCACCCTGCAGAGCCCCGGCAGAAATGGGGAGTTTATCCCGCTGGGAACTGCTGGAATTTCTGCCCTGGGATTGTCCCCCTGGGCGAGGAGCTCAGGAGACAGAAGATCAGCAGAGCAAAGCTGTGGTGTTGTCACAGAACTCACCCAAGCCCAGCTTTAGGCTGGTCCCTGCAGCCACTTGGGTGAAAGTTTTATTGTTTATTTTATTTATTATTAATTATTTTATTGATTATTAATTTTTTAAATTTATTTATTATGTATGGGAACATCAGCTCAGCTCTCCAAATGACAAAATGTGACAAAATGTGACAAAATCCTGCTGGGATTGATGCTGGACTGCTCAAGCCTGGGAAGATAAAAATGCTGAGGATTATTACTATTATTAGTAGTATTATTAGTATTGTTATTATTTTTTATTAACTATATATTCTTTTAATTCTTATTACTTTCATAATAATTATTATAATCACATCCCCTGGTGTCAGATCTAGATCCAAATATCCAGGGGAAGGGATGGATGGAACCCTCAGTGTCTGTACCCATCCTGCTCTGGCAGAGCCCTGCTGGGGCTTGGGCTGATAATTTTGGGATTAAGGACAGGTTTAGGAGCCCAAATCTTTTGGCAGAAAAAATTTTATTCCACAAGTGCTGATTTTATATGGATTAAGTGACTTTAATTCCTTTATTATTGTTGCTGTTTCCCTCCTGCCTGATCTATTTGACCTTACACTTACAAACCTTGCTCTTGCATTCTTGTTGCCTTTTTTTGTTCCTTCCAAACTTCTCAGCTTTTCTTGTGTTTGCCTTGCTGGAGTAATGATTAAAATAAATTAAAAATTGCTTAAAAACCTGATAAATGCCAGAGGTTTTCAGGAGAATTCAGATCAGGGCAGACATTACATTACATTACAGAAATTATTTGGCTCTGATTTTTGTCCCACAAGAACTGGATGTTGGATTATTTTGCATAAAACACATTTCTTAAAATTAAAAGAATAATTTCAAACGGTTCTGATAGACTCTTTGAATGCATTAATTATTTTTTTCTCCTATTTCCAGACTTGTCAAATTGCGAATTTTGGAGTTAAGAGAAAACCACTTGAAAACTCTACCAAAGTAAGTGCTGGGGTATTTACATTTATTCACCTGGAATTTCCAAAAGTGCCAAATATTTGGATTGGTAGCAATGCAGTGGTGATGGTTCTGTGAGTTTTTTGGGGGGTTTTTTTGCATTTTTAAAAGAAATTCTACTGAAGGTTTTTAGTTATTTTTTGAGCTGCTGCTCCACTTTCTCCCGAGGTCCCAGTGAGGATGGGAAGTGTTTGCCAACTTTGGGGTTACAAATATTTGCAATTTCCCTGGCGCCCTGTTTTCCTAAAATAGCAGCCCTGGCTGACCTGGGGAACTCAAACCCCCCAGGTTCACTGCCCTATTAAAATATTGGCAATATTTTAACCAGCAGCTGCTGCCTCGAGGTTCCCCTTGAGGCTTTTCCAAGCTGGATCCGTTTGCTGTTCAGGGAAGAGGCTGGAAATGCATCCCATTGTTCTGCTTTAGGGAAAAAAGGTTTTTCCCATTGTTTTGCTTATGGAAAAAGGGCTTTTTCTATTGTTAAAGGGGGTAAAGTTATTGGAAAATGTATTATTAATTTTTATTTTTAAATTATTTTATTAATTTATTTTATTATTTTATTGAATTTTATTTTATCAATTTGTTTTATTGTATTATTTTATAAATTTATTTTAATTTTAAATATTTTTATTTTATTTTATTTTATTTTATTTTATTTTATTTTATTTTATTTTATATTTTATTTTATTTTATTTTATTTTATTTTATTTTATTTATTAATTATTCTTCCTAGAATCCCAGAATCCCAGGCTGGTTTGAGTTGGGAGGGAGCTTAAATCCCATCCAGTTCCAAGGACAGGGACACTTTCCTTGGGCCAGATGAGCTTTAAGGTCTTTTCCACAGAACTCTGAGGTTCTTTTCTGAAGGAAAAGAGAAAAGATTCTTTTCCATCTCCTTAGGAATGCTGAATTCCAGAGAAAAACCTGCTGGCCTGAGTGGTGGGAGGGGAGAACGTGGATAACCCTGGAGAATGCCCCAGCCTCACCCTCCTGTTCTTGATTTCCTCTGGAGCCTTTTAAAAAGCACATTCCACATTTTAAAATGCTTTTTAAATAAAATAATTTTATTCTGCGCCTCGTGGGAATTCCACGCTCGTGGCCCCTCCCGAGTGGAAGGAGAGCTCCAGAGCGGATCCTTCGATGGGATTCCCCATTTTTGGGAAATCTCTGTTCATTCTCATTGGGGCAGTGAGTAAATATTTCACTGAGCATTGCTCAGGATTTCTCCTTTCCTCATCTGTAAAATGACCCCACGCAGCAACTGCAACGAAGCTTCCCACAAGAAGAATATAAAGAATGATATGAAAGAGAGAAAAACAGCAGCAGCGAATGGGAAAATCTCGTTTTCCATTGGCAGCGTCGGCAGAGCTCCATTTTTTGATGGAGCCCCAGCTCCCCGAAATTAATCTGCCCCCGCATCAATTTTAGTCTCTAATTGTTTATTTGACTGTAGAAATGGCACAAATAATTAAAAGTTGCATTTGAAGCTGAATTTATGGCGGAAAACTCAAAGTTGTTGAAGTTGTGTTCGAAAGAATTTGGGATGAAAGACAAAGGGTTTTACCAATTTGAGTGTATTTAATCTCTAAAGAGTTCCAGGATTTAATAACTGAAAAGACATGACGGAGAAATCTAAAATGTTAAAATATATATAATATAGTTAATATATAATGTGTGTAATAATTAAAATATTAATTATAATAATATATGGTGATACATTTCAGTGGAGTTTGTCTCCCTGGTTTTGTGGCATTTATTTCCCTGTTTCTGTGGAGTTTATTTTCCTGTTCCTATGTAGTTTATTTCCTATTTCTGTGCACTTAATTTTCATATTTCTGTGAAGTTTATTTTCCTCTTCCTGTGGCGTTTACTTCCTATTTCTGTGGAGTTTATTTTCAGGTTCCTGGGGAGGTTATTTCCTGGGTTTGTAGGGTTTCTTTCCTGTTTCTTTGGAATTTATTTCCCTGTTCCTGTTTTTATGGAGTTTATTTCCTATTTCTGAGGAGTTTATTTCCCTATTTCCATGGAACTTATTCCCTGTTTCTCTGGGGTTTATTTCCTATTCCTGTGCAGTTTAATTCCTGGGTTTTTTTGAGTTTATTTCCCTGCTTTAACAAAGGGAAAAGGACATTTTCTGGCACTAAAAGAGCAGCAGTGCTCTCAGCACAGCCAGGTGAAATGCTGGACCAGGGCTCTGGTTTTCAGGCACAGCCTTTCCACAATAATCACATTTACCTCTGGTACAAATTGCAGAGACAGAATGGTTGATATTTTAGATCACAGCAATTAAAGCTATGCTAATTTTTTTGATTAGGATCTGATTACCTCGGGAGGCCTCTGAACTGCCTGTTGCAGTTCATGTTAAATGATTTCATTATTTTTATCCTCTTTTTTCACTGCACCCCTCCACCCCCCCAAACCCAGCGTGGTGTTTGGTTCACTTTGGTCTATCTGGGCTTAAGGAGAAATTCTGTACTTGGGATAAAGCCCTGCTCCAGTTTTGTTCACGGAAACAAAGGCAAAATTTAATTTATTAACTTTGAACTTGATTAAATCTGAACCTCAGAGCAGGGGACCTGGCTCAAGAGTCCAAACACTTTCTTTATGTGGTTTATAAAAAACTACAGCAAGTGCACAAATCTCTCTCAAAAAGCCACAATTTCTGTTGTATTTTATTTCAATCACTCATTGATATAACATGGGGCATTTTCCCTGAGCAAATACGCAAAAATCTGCCAAGATTTTGTTTTATTTTTATATGGAAATAACTGTTGCTGGCTTTTGAGTCCAATGACTTCCGTCAACGTCTCAAGGATGGAATGGATTGTTGAAATTTGCATCAGCATCCAACTGGTGCGATTCTTTTTTGCCACCACAGTGTCACTGCAGCTTTATTTTCATCCCCCCAAAACCTGGCCGACGTTTTGCCAGTTAAAATCTCATTTTGAGTCTTTGCTCCTCTGTTCCAGGTCAATGCACAAACTGACTCAGCTGGAGAGGCTCGATCTGGGCAATAATGAGTTCTCTGAGCTGGTAAGAAAGGCTCCAGTTTTTAAGGGGAAACCTGGGGGGTTTGGGTGCTCTGTCCACAGGGAATGAAACTTTTCCTGGAGAGGCTTGGTGGGATCCTGCCTTGGGCAAGGGACACATTTCCCTCCAGCCCAAACCAGTCTGGCATTCTGCAGTTCCAGCAGAGGTCGGTTCTGATCCTTATAAGCGGTTTCTGCCTCCAACTCATCCCCAAAATCCAAATTATTTTCCCTGAAATTGAAATCTTTTGGGAATTTTTCCTGCTGTCAGCACAGGAAGTGAGAGATGGGAGCCATGGAAAAAGAGGAGCAGGGATTGCAGCCCTGCAAGGGAATAGCTCCTGCAGCTTTAGTTAAAACTGAGATAATTCCACTTCAAACAATCCCTGAAATGTCTCCTGGTGCTACGAAGCTGCAGCAAAGTCTCTACATCTGTTTTATGGAGCAAAGTTCCAGGCTGCTCATTTATTCCGTGCAGGAGGAAAGAGAGGATTTAACTCCGATTTTTAATTAAAGTCTTCAGCGTGGATAAACAGAGCGAATTTTTCAGAAGAGCTGCTTGGAATTTTAATTGTAGGAATTAAATCCTGCCCGAGTTCAGAGCTTCTCTTCTGGGGGTGGCTTGGGTTTGTGGTGTTTGAAAGGAATTGGAAAATATTCCATGTATTTCCATTCCCTGGCAGCCCAGTGACCCCACGAGTGATCCATCAGGAGAGGGGAGATCCCATCCTCCTGTTAGGGCCAGAATTCCCAAGTTTACTCATTTTTGAGCCAAAATGTAGGAGCTGGAATCAAGTGCCAGGAGCCAAATGGGCCAAGAGGCCAAGGAAGAGTGGGAATGTGCAGGAATGTCAGGAAGGGAGTAGGGAGGGAAGGAAAAGGAGAGAGGACAAAGTAGAATTCAACTTTCTCCTTAATTCCTGTGAGTCTTCCATTCAGGCTCGATCTCAGGAAGCTTTTCTGCATGGAGAGGGTGGTCAGACCCTGGAATAAACTCCTGGAAAGGGGGATTAAGGGACATCTGGACAATTCCCCTAATAATATCCTTTGAGGTTTGGTCAGAGTGACTTGGTCAGGGAGCTGGACTGGGTGGTCAATGTAAAACCCTTCCAGCTGGTTCCCTCCTGTTCCTATTCCTGTTCCTATCCCTGTTCTATTCCTGTTGCTATTCTCTATTTTATTCCTATTCCTTTTCTGTCCTATTACTATTCCTATTCCCACTGTATTCCAATTGTAGCAACCTATGTGGGAAATGGGAATATTCCCCAGACAGGCCCACACCAAAGCATTTCTAACAGAGACAAACAAGGTTTTGATGGCACTTTTAACTTTTAATGGCACTTTGATACCAGCCCGCCCACGAGATCCCATCTGGATCATGGTGTGCCATAATGTGGAATATTCCACGGTGCTCCACAAGAATGGGAAATTCCATCATCCTGGGGAATTATAGTCCAAGGAATTCCCCATCAAAGTGTGCTCTGTACAGCCCAGGAACAGGCTTTGAAGAAAGGTGTCTGTTAATGAGAGGGATTGAAAAGCAAATTAAAGTTGAGAGGGGAAATTATGATTATCCATAATGACCTCAGCCCGTGAACACTCCAGAGGGATAAAGAAACATTAATCAGCACAGGAACAAATAGTATTAAATGACCATTAATCAATTCAGCCTGGAAATGAGAAGTGGTTTTAATCATCGAAGGACAGCAGAATTTCAATGGAATTAACAGAGGCAGAATAAATCATCTTTAAAATGCTCAGCACTAGTTCTTAGCAGGCAGTGGTTATGTGGAGATGTGGCAAACAAGGAGTGAGTTCTCCTGTTCCCCAGCTTTGTTCTCACCTGCTGAGGCACCAGGAGCTTGTCCCACCATTCCCTGGGCGCGTGGGGAATCCGATTTCTCCTGGGAATGGCGACATTCCAACCCAGAGCACGCGGGGAACTCCAGGCCTCCCCTGGGCTCTGCAGGTCCATTTGCTTCTGCCTGTGTTGGAATCACTCCAGGGCAATTGAACTGCTTCCAAAGGCTGATTTGGAATGGAATATTTCCTGGAATATTTCGTGGAGCGTTTAACACCAGGTTCTGCCAGGCTTTGGGGAAAAAAAATCTCTACAACCTGGGAGAGCAAAGGCAAATTCCAAGTGTTGGTTTGCTGAGGAAAGTGTTTAGTGGGAAAGGAAAACACTGCTGAGGAAACCTGGGAATATTTGTGGCCTGGGTTTGTAATTCTGGGATTTCACAGCTGTGAGGAGTGAGGAGTGATTTGGGGAATTGCCTTTTTTTGGTTCCTCTCACTGATACCCTGAAAAGAATAAAAGAGATGAAATTTTGATTCTGCCATTCCAGGTTTTATCAGTGCCCATTATCTCCTGTGTATCCTGACTCCTGGCTGTGGCAACTGCAGATATTAAATCTCCCCAGGATGTGTCCTCTGGGCTCATTCCTTTTGCAAAAGGTTCTTAAATTTTACAAGTTTTGGTAAAGAGCAGCAGTGGTTAAATTGCACAAAGGGAATGTTCTCTTCTTGTCCTTAAACACCTCGAAAGCTGAGATGGGGTGTAAAAAAACAAAGGGAAGTAAAAAGAGCTTTATTTTTTTTTAAGAAAATGCTGATTTTTATTTAACTAGAGGCACATTTCTTTGCTTAGATACCCAAAATTATTTATTCTTTTCCTCAGCCTGAGGTTCTTGAACAAATCCAGAATCTGAAGGAGTTGTGGATGGACAATAACTCCTTGCAAGTGCTACCTGGGGTATGGACATTTATTTTAGGGATTTATTGGGTGATTTGGCGATTTCCCTGTTTGCCTGCCTGTGCATTTCCTTGGGTGGGTGCAGAGAGTCATTCATTAATTAATTAGTATAAAATTTTTGGGATGGTTCAACACAGAAAAGCTCCTGGAAGGTGGGAATTGGGAATATCCCTTGGATCTGTGTCCAGATGGAGAAACAGCTCAGCTGCATGCCCAGGAATGGCAAATCCCTGCAGATTTAATGAATTTGGAGTACATTAATTAACTGGGAGGGTTAATTTTGTTCCTTTGAGGCTGAGCCCACCCAGCCCTGCCGCGGGGAGAGCAGTGATCCCAAAGGGTGCTGAGCTAACTCCAGATCAGCTGGATGTGTGTGTTTGTCTCTAATTAACGCTCTAATTAACAGCTCTATCTGCTCAAGTAACTCTGTCTCACGTGCTATTAAGTCTATAGGGAAGTTAAAACAGCTCGTGTACCTGGATGTGTCCAAAAACAGGATCGAGACGGTCGACCTGGACATCTCAGGCTGTGAGGGGCTGGAGGATCTCCTCCTCTCCTCCAACATGCTGCAGCAGCTGCCCGATTCCATAGGTGAGGGAAGCTCTGGGATTCCTCTCTATTTGATAGGTTTTTAAAAATTTTTTATCTTTTTTCTTTTTTAATTTATGGGTTTTTCTCATTACGCAGCGAGGCCTGCCATTAAATCCCAAAGGAGGCAGAAAATGGTGTCTGGACTGTCCCATTTTGGAAAGTCAGGAGCACAATTCCCTGTTGCTCCATCTGGTTTGCTGTTTTAAGGAAAAGAAGCCAAGAAGGACAGAATTAATTTCATTTAAATGTAAAAATCAGTCTGAGAGTAATTATGGGATTGCTGCTCATTCACAGTGGAAAAAGGAAATAAAAAGGAAATAATTCAAATTATTAATTTCCTTTTGACTTTTTGACATGCATGGAATTCCTGGATTATTTAGGATCTGTGGAAGTTCTGGGAGTGAGTGGCTGTAGGGACATTCCTCTGTCCATTGGGATATTTCCTTTCAGTCCTGAGCCCTTTTCCCTTTCCCTTTGAACACAGAACTGTAAAATTCCTCCATTTTAAATCAATTTACTCAGATTCCAGCATGGATTGCTAATTCATGCTGCTGATTATTGACTCTCTTACTGGGTGTCTTCTCCTCATATTTTCCATCTTATTCTTCTACGTCTCCCCATCAATCCCAGGATTTTTGTTCCGTGGTTTTCTGCCCAGGTTGGTTTTCAGAGGGCATTTAGCAGGAATAAACCCATTTGGGATGATACTCCCTAAAATTCAGAGCAGAGCTGTTCAGGGTTACAACCCGTGGCATTCCAGGAGATCCCCATGGGAGCTCTTTATCCATCATTTCTTCCTGCAGGATTGTTGAAGAGACTGACAACTCTGAAAGTGGATGACAACCAGCTCACCATCCTGCCCAATGCCATTGGAAAGTGAGTCCAATGTTCATCCTTTTTAATTAAAACACCTTTCCCCTTCTGCTCAAGGAGTGTGGGTTTTCAACTAGAAAATCAGACAAATATACTGAATTGTGAAGTCATTTCCAACCCTCAGGTTGCGACATTTAAATTTGGAGCACCGCTTTTAATCCTGGGGATTTTTCAGTGCAAGGGAGAAGAAGGTAAAATATATCCAGTTTTCCAAGAGGAAAACCAAAGATTTGGGTGTGAAACAATCTGGATGCTGCAGAAAGATGGATTTAAATCCAGCTTCATCATTTTGGGAGTCTGGTTCTAAAACCTTTTAAACCTTTTTTGTTTATTGCTGAAGGGAAACCCCCTTTTTTAACCCAGTATCTCTTCAGTGTTTGTCATGGAGCCTTGATTACATTTCCAAAGGCACAGCCACGGCTCCAAAATGGGATTTCAGAGCAGCCGGGATTACCCGGGATCTCCACCTTGTGCTGGAGCCACTGGCTGTGCTTTTCCAGGGAAAAATTCCCTCTCCTCTAATGAGGCAGAGTGTCCCACATCACAGGGCACTTGGCTCTCTGACTCATCCCTTTGGATGGATTCCTGCTGGGTCTCTTTCTCCAAAATTCCAGAGGCTGTCGCTGTCACCCAGGGATGGGCAATGTGGAGGAGGGAACATTCCCTCTGGGATTCCTCCCTGAGAGCACTCGGTGCTGGCTCCACGCTCTGCTGGGCAGCTCCACCCTCATTTTTGGGATTTCTCTTCAAAGGACAGCCCGTGGTGGCTGTCAGAGCCTGCAGCAGCCCAGCTGAATGCAACATTCCGCACAGAGCCAGGGATTCCCGCTAATTCCCTGCTGGAGACGCTCCCTGTGGGATCTGGGTGGTGGGAAGGTGCCAGGGGGAACTCAGGGCCTCCAGCTGGGCCTGGGGCAGTGTTTGGGGCACAGGTCCAGCCTGTGCCAGAGGAGATTTGTGTTCCCAGGTTTTAGCAGGGAATGGAACTGGAAGAGCTGAGATCAGTGATGAGGAGGAGGAGGAGGAGGACGGGGAGGGCGCAGCTGAAGCTGTGGCTGCCCCATCCCTGGAAGAGTCCAAGGCTTGGAGCACCATGGGATAGTGGGAGGTTCCTCTGATCTCTGTCTGAAGCCCTTGGAATTCTTCCCCACGTTCTTCAATATCCTCAGTATCCCAGAAAATCTGAACAGCAGCAGGGGCAAACCAAGCGGCCTTAAAGTGGGTTCCAAAGATCCCGTTGCTATGGGCTTCTGCCAGGGAAATCGTGGAACGATTTGGGTTGGGATGGGCCTCAAAGCCCATCCAGTGCCACCAGGGACACCTTCCACTGTCACAGTGTCCAGCCTGGCCTGGGACACCTCCAGGGGTCCAGGGGCAGCCCCGGCAGATCTCCCCCGGACGTTCCCTCGCAGGGCTGGAGGCGCCTGGGGCTGGTGGATCTCCCGAGGTTTGGGGCTGTTCCTTTGGTGCTGCAGGCCCTAACCAGGGGTTTCCCATTCCAGCTTGTCCCTGCTGGAGGAATTCGACTGCAGCTGCAACGAGTTGGAGTCGCTGCCCTCCACCATCGGGTACCTGCACAACCTGCGCACCCTGGCCGTGGACGAGAACTTCCTCCCGGAGCTGCCCAGAGAGGTGCGTGCCCCATGCCAGGCTGGGGTGTCCCCGGGAGCCAGGAGCCAGCATCCCACCCCTGGAGTGTTCCTGGGAGCCAGCCTCACATCCCTGGGTGTCCCCGGGAGCCAGGAGCCAGCATCCCACCCCTGGGGTGTCCCCGGGAGCCAGCCTCACATCCCTGGGGTGTCCCCAGGAGCCAGGAGCCAGCACCCCATCCCTGGGGTGTACTGTGGGATCCATCCCATCCCTGGTGTGTACCGTGGGATCCAGGATCCCATCCCATCTTTGGGATGTCCTGTGGGATCCAGCATTCCATCCCTGGGGTGTCCCATGGGATCCAGGATCCCATCCCTGGGGTGTCCCATGGGATGCTGGATCCCATCCCTGGGGTGTCCCATGGGATCCAGGATCCTATCCCATCCCTGGGGTGTCCCATGGGATCCAGGATCCTATCCCTGGGGTGTCCCATGGGATGCTGGATCCCATCCCTGGGGTGTCCCATGGGATCCAGGATCATATCCCATCCCTGGGGTGTCCCATGGGATCCAGGATCCCATCCCTGGGGTGTCCCATGGGATCCAGGATCCCATCCTTGGGATGTCCTGTGGGATCCAGCATTCCATCCCTGGGGTGTCCTATGGGATCCAGGGTCCCATCCCTGGGGTGTCCCATGGGATCCAGGGTCCCATCCCTGGGGTGTCCCATGGGACGCTGGATCCCATCCCCAGATCTCAGCTGCTCCTGGAATTCTCTGGGCGTGCCAGAGCGAACATTCCCGAGGTGCTGGGTGGTAAAACTGAGCCGTAAATCCATGGGAAATTGGGAATATCCCTGTGAGGAGCAGTGGGAGGAGCCCCAGGTGCTCACCGAGGTTCCTGCCAGCAGGAAAATGTCGTTTTCTGGTCGAATTCTGGATTTTCTGCCTTTTGTGGCTTCCAGGAAAACCCAATTTAGGCACCTCCCAATACGAAAAGTGAAAATAAGCATTCCCAAGTTTGGGATTCCACCACTGTGGCTTTTCCATTCCCGCAGATTGGGAGCTGTAAGAACGTGACTGTGATGTCCCTGCGCTCCAACAAACTGGAATTTCTGCCCGATGAGATTGGCCAGATGCAGAAGCTGAGGGTGTTAAATCTGAGTGATAACAGGTACAGTTCACAGCATTCTTTTTTTTTAGCCAATTTAAGAATTTTTTTTTAATTTAAAGTTTTCCTTTGAGGCCTTTATAAAGATACATTTCTCTAAAATATATTTTAAAATGTAAAAATATCTTTAGAATTCTAGTTTTAAAATAGCATCATTATAATTTAATTTATTTAAACAATAAGGAAAGAATCTTGGTTGTTTTTTCTTAATCTTTATGGTTTGGTCTCAGCTCTTTTGACATGCAAGAGAAAACTTCAGGAAAACTGAATAAGGCAAACTGATGCCCAGGGAACCAGGAAACAGGAATTATCCTGCATCCACTGAAATCCAAGGAACATTTTTAATTTCCTTCATCGGATTTTTTTTTTTTCAAACCCCAGATTTCATTTGTCAAACCCCAGATTCATTCATTGAACCCACAGTCCTTATGCACAGGACTGTGCTTAAGAGAGAAACAAATGAGCTGTCCTTGATCCCTGTCCTGTGCTGCCACGGGCACATGGAAAATCTGAATTTCCTTGGGATTAATCCATGTGGATGTGCCAGGAGTGTGGTGATTTGCAGTACCAGCACAGGTTTGCTGGCTAGTGCAGGATGTGGGAGGGCGAATTCCATTTTCTCTCCAGGAGTTGCCATCCACACTCAGCAAAAATCAGGGAAGGATTTCCCAGCCCGGTTTCCTTGCTGAGATCCAGGTTGGACACAAAAATGTAAATGA